AAGAGTCTCATCCAATCAGAGGCAGCTCTGGGTGATCATGTGACTGGGGGAGTGGTACAAGGGTGGACCAAGGTGCAAAAGAGACTAGGAGAGTTCCTCTCTGCAGGTAAGTGGCTGAAACTACCACAAATATTCTGCAGAAACCTACTGATATTTTGTACTATAAGGATCTTTACTCTGTGCGTGCGTGTGTGTGTGTATGTGTGTTTGTGCGTCTGAAGGCCTTTCCTCTGTCACCGTGGGAACAGACCAGGAGAAACTGCTGATTCAGCTGGAATCAGAACTGGAGCAAAGCAAACAGCTGGTCAGGCTGCAACAGCAGCTCCTGCAGGTTATATTACTAACTGCTACAGTGCTCATTGTTAATCCCTCCCATAATGTATTTCTGCTGCCTCCAACAGTAGTTTCACACCTGTCGTTGTATCAGTGGCCAGTGTTGCCATATCGTTCAGTGCTGTCAATGTATTATTCAGGTGGCGCACACCTGTCTGTTTCTGTGCCTCCCGCAGGACAATGTAGTTACCCCTCTTCCAGCCCCTTTGATTGACTCCTATCATTTGGAAGAGTGGGAGAGGCTTCAGGCCAAGTGGGCGGAGTTTGAAAGTCAGAGGCGGAGCTTCCAGAGGGAGAGGCAGGCCTTCACGGATGCCGCCATCAGACTGGGCCACGAGGTGAGAGAAGGAGGCTGACGCTGCTGTAATGTGCTTGTTTGTCGTGTTGCTGCAGGCCTGGAGATGACTGATGGTGTGTGTGTCTCTGCAGCGGCGGCAGTTTGAGCAGCAGAAGGCCTCCCTGCTGAGGCAGCAGCTCCTCTGTCACTCGCCCCTCAAGCCTCCCTCACGCAGCAGGAGAGAGAGCGGCTCCTTAAGTGAGTCGCCGCAACACAGCAATGAGTCGGCCCCTGTGCGCCGAGCTTCCAATACACAGCCATCCAACCTACAGATATCTCACACTTGTGTGTGTAATGAATCTGCAGAAATGTTAACACTTGGCGCCTCAGTCAGCAAAAGCGCTTGTTTCCGAGCGCAGGCTGAGCCCTGCGGCCCAGGTTCAAGCTTAGCCATGTTATTGGCTGACAGTGATGACAGGCCCAGAATGGTAGAGCAAATTGGCTTCGTTCCAGGGATAGTGGTGGGTATGTCAGCAAGGTTCTCTCATCTCTCTGCTGTGGCGCCCTCTAATGGCTCAGGAGGTGCATGCACAGATGTCCCTGCACCCATTTTCAAATTGCCATTTGTTCTGCTGTAGGGCACTGTGGGGCATGCAGTGTGAAAAGCAGCTGTTGACTGTGTGTCAGTGTATAGAAGGATTGCACTTGCTTCATTTCAGCGCAAGCATACCCCCTATGCAAATAGGCAAGCCTAGAGTACAACTGGCAATTTCAAACCGGATAAAAAAATGTTACTACTTGGATGGGCTGAATTTATGTATTTGCATTGAAAGGCCATTTTTTGCCCTTCTTAGTGAGCGATGTTAATTTCTCCTAATCACACTGCCTTTGAATGCCCCCTTTGTGTTATTGTAAAGTTTAATTTGTTTTGAAGCGAGATCCTCAAGCTTTGAATTAATCTCTGCCTTAACTGACATCACAGATAAGCGCTTATCGATCCTGTAAGCATTAAGGCTCTCTTGACAAAAAGACCTCAGACGCCCCGGAGCTTGATCAGTTTCACATCCTTTGATGCCCAGTGCGCATGACGCATGCATGCACACACACACACACACACACACACACACACACACACACACACACACACACACACACAGTCTGCTTTTTCCACACCTCTCAGCGGTAACTGAGGCTCTGTACATGCACACACACAAACCCATGGGAGTCATTCATATGTCGTGACTGCTGGCCTTGACTGCCATCTTGCAGTGAGTGTTGAAGTTCTCAATGTAAGTGAGCTTTGTTTGCTGAGTGTATATGACAACCTCACTCGCCTGCAGCAGGATAGACTTCACCGCACACTAGTCACGCCAGCTGTAGTCAGCGATCCCACTTAGGTCATGCACTGAGTTCCTCACGTAAACACAGTGCTTTAGGACAGTCGCGTTAAAAACAGTAACAGCTGTGCTTTAACTGTGCTATGAAAAACAATGGCTGTCACCGCAGGCTTTTAAAAAAAAAAAAAAAAAAAAAAGGTATGAGAGCCTGGTAATTGCTTTGCTCTTGTATGGGCTCTAATGGTAGCTTGCTTTTCTCAACCAAAAGTTTGAAAAGCTGTTGAACGTGGTCCAGTCATTTCTCATACAATCGATGTGACTCTGGATCAGATGTCTTCCAAAATGAATGTGATGTCTGTTACACAATGGGTCTGTTTCTGAGAATGCACATTGTCTGTTCTGCGTGGGGGGTTGTGTGACAGCTGTTTCAGGTTCGGATCACATGACCTACTCGAGTTGTCATCCGGCCTCTCCCTCGTCCATGGAGTCGGGCATTGCGCCCTGGGCTGAAGAAAGCGGTGCTCAGACCCCCAGCACCCCTGAACTCTACTCTGCTCTGAGGTTACCCTTCTTCCGCAGGTCTGTTGCCCCCCCCCATTCCTCACACTCAGCTGGTAAACCTCAGCTGCGTTCAAATTGTGTTCAAATTTTAAATTAATGATGAAACTGAGAGAATGTATTGATAACCTCTATGGCTACCATTGCTATAAATGGTATCTTAAACATAGGAAAAAGATTTATTCATGAATGTAAATTGCTTCTCACAGCTGATGACAATCTCCTTAAACGATATGATGGCAGCTCTTAATTTAAATGCACTATGTTGTCAGTGTCACATTTACAAAAAGCACTGGCTGCATCTGGTGACTGTATGTGTCATTAAGTCTACCCACCATGGAATACACCCTTCACCGTCTCCACTCAAAGCCTCGGTCCCAGTGAAATAGGACCAGATAAGTTACAGGGTCAGAAATTTCACGGTTAATTCCTGCTCAGCGGGACCCCCCGAGTAGTGGAGACACATGTGACCCGAGACTTTTTCTGAATTTCACGGTGCAGCGCGCTGGTGGAAAAGGGGGTATCGTTGAGTTATGCGTATCATTTGCCAGCCTCAGCAGGAGTGTCTGATGACTGTATGGTAACGTGGGGTCTCTCTTTCTCCCCCTCCATCTCTCCCTTCCCCCCTCTCTCTCTCTGTCCCTCTCTCTATCCCTCCCCCTCTCTGTGTGTCCCCCCCTCTATTTCCATCCCTCCCTTCCCCTCTTTCTCTATCCCCTTTTCTGTCCCTCTCCATCTCTCCCTTTCCCTCTCTTCCTCTGTCTCCCCTTTTCACTCTCTCCATTCCTCTCTTGTCCTCCCTCTCTCAGGAGGTCTATGGGAAGTCCATCTCGGAGTGACTGTTGGGATGAGCATCCCAGAAGGCACCTGTACCCCCCCAAAGACATGGAATGGTCATTTTAATCAATCATGTACCACTTTTTAAAGAGCTCTTTTTCTACATATATATTTTTCTAATAAAGAAATAAAAAAGTAGACATTTTACACAAGGCAGGCTCTTCCAGTGTCTTGCTTTCCATGGTAACGGCAGTGTGTGGTGCTTAACTCAAACAGACTATTTCCGTAGGCCTTTTCCTCTTGAACCAATAACCATTACAGTGTCTGCCTGTCAGGCAGGACTTTTAAGTTCTATTTGATAACACGATTTAAGTGTTAAATTTAAAGATTTAATAGCAACAAAGGGAAACTTCTGCACGTCATTTAGACAGAGGCCTCTTGGAATTATTGCAATGTGAACATGGGCAGAAATCTTCAGGGGGGATTCTGTCAGAAATATCTGCAGAATTTTACCCCAAGCCCTCAGGAGGAGAACCTGCATTTGGCAAAATGTAGTCCACCTGCACTGTGTAGGCCTGCCCACGTATCAAACGGCACACAAGCTTTATGTGTGTGCGGCTGACCTGTGTGCAGGTTTTTGAATCTGTCATTTAGGGTGATGTGGTCACAAAGTGTTATCAGAAGATGCACATTAAGCTTCACCACAGGCAGGTTTAACGGACCTCCCCGGGCTGCTGTTTTTTCTCCGAGTGACTCTCAGGCAGTGTCGCGTGTAAAAAGTGTGTGGTTGTTTGCCACTGTGTGCATTCGGGTCCCACCTACTGGATCAGGTGTGTCCGTGTGGTTAGTGACAGTTACAACTGCTTTCTACTTATTTATAACCCTTTTTTTCCCCTTCCCCCCCCGGCAAAACTCAAACCCGCAGCCCCTCACCCCTTCCTATACAAGGCAGGGGTGGAGGAAAAATGACAGACGCACCAACGAGCTGTTTCCAACCCTCTATTGCCTGTTCACCCTCTTCCTTCCTATAGTGTACTCCCCCCTCCCCCACCCCCTGTTGACAGTATTCACACAGACGCACACAAACATCATCTGCTAGGCTGGCTTTTCTGGCTTCTGGCTTTTCCATTACGTTCTTATTTCTCCTTCCCACCAATATCCCTGTTCAGAGAAAGTAAACACAATCCACACCAGAACGTCCTAGTTGTATACTTCTGTGATATGGCACAGTATGCTTTGGATTCATCTTAATCTCAGGTTCTGCCAAGATAAACCTGCTCTCTCTACCAGCCAAACCCTCCCCCCTGCAAACCATGGGGCAGGTTATCCTTGATGACAAGCTCTCCTTCATCAAGAGCACTGTTGGATTGACCTGGATCAGCAGGTTCTTTAGCAAATAAGAATACATTCATTTGTCACCACCAACTACTCTTCCTAACTCCTCCCCTGGGTCCTTGTGTCTGCTGCTATCGCACCTCGGCCCTGGTGACTAGTTTCTCTGCCCACTGGCAGACCACTTCAACTCATTCTGAACACTGCTGCTTGGCCAGTGTTCAACCTTCCAAAATATGGCCATGTTACATTACATTATTATCATGTAAGCGGACGATTTTCTCCAGAGCGACTTACATAGGTTACATTTTTTACATGTTATCCGTTTATATAGGTGAATGTTTACTGAGACCATTCTGGGTTAAGTACCTTGCCTAAGGGTATAGCAGCAGTGCCCCAGCGGAGAATCGATCCAGGAATCTTTTGGTTACCAGCCATGTTCCATACCACTATGCTACACTGCTGCCCCATGTCTCTCCTCTCCTTGTCTGTTCCATGGCTTCTGACTACTGGTCGCAAATTCAGAACCCCGGTGGCGGCCTACTGGGATGTCTAGGACGTGGCTGCTTACCGCTTTTAATTGATCAAGGGACTATCTATTGTACACTCTCTGCCCGGCAGGCTCTCTCCTTGGCAGCCTCACATCAGCTAGCCATGTTCCCCCCTCCGCAGACACCTCCTCAAAATCACCTTTTTTCCTCCTCAGCCCCCCGTGATGGAAGGAGCTACATGGTGCGTGCCTATTTTAGCATTATTATTCAGTCTGATGCTGGATCACTGTGTTACCGGCTTCTCCATATCAGTCTTGTTCCTGTGGTACATATTTAATATATTTTAATACATCTCACCATGGTGGCTCTGGATGCCTCTTTTGAGAAGAGCATCTGCCAAATGCATGAATAAGCGTAATCATTTTTAAAATCCAAATTGATGTAGTGCACTTGTACATATATGGAATTTACATATAAATTTACTTTCATTGACAGCACTGGGGGCTCACAGACTGTACATTTACCATCTTATACAGCTGTGAATAAGCCCACATATTCATCATTCTTCCACCTGCCTCCAGTTCCCCCCCTCCAACTCCCCACCATCACCAACTCCCCTTCCCCCTCTCCCTCTGCCTCCGCTCCTCTATCAGTCAGGTTGATCAGTGCTGTCAATGCAAGATGGCTGGCAGTTGGAACAGTCTCTGCGGTGGTAACCCCAGCGTCTGACCTCACACTCTGACCTCTGACCTCTGGCACTGCATCACAGACTGATCAATACGTAACTGAGACCGAATAGAGGGATTAGACAGAGCTGGAGAGAGTAAGGGAGGAAGACAAAGAATGGACAGGAGAAAAAAAAAACAGCTCTAACAAAAAGGATCCTGGACAAAAATTTCACCTGCCATATTGTATTAAAGACAAGAACAAGCGAAAAGAGCAGAAGAAAAATGCTTGAACCTTGTGTGTGTTTAATAAAGGTTATTAATAATATTAAACAGGCTTCAGGAACAAGACCTCCACTGCTTTTCATGCCTTGTGATCCACTGGCCATTCTGTGTGGGGAACCATTTTATGTTCATGCCAAATGAAATATGATAACAGAATATGAATGTTGTCTGGGAATTCATGTATTTGAGTCATTGTTTAGTATGTTGCATTTTGATTCTGCTCTCTGAATTTCACTATTCACTTCCAAAATACCTGATGCACAGATACAAAGAGGATAAAACTATATCAACTACATCCTTTATGTCTGAATGACAGCGTTGTTCATGGGAAGCGTCAGCAACATTTTAGATTACAGCAATCTATCAAAGTGTCACATCCTTCCATCTCTGTGTAAGTCTGACAGCTCTCGCCCCTGCATATCGCCAAGCTGAATCTACATGATAACGCGGATGATAATCTTCTCATGGCCTTGGCAGCTTCTTCACACCTGGCTTGAACTCATGACAGTGGATGTGAGACGTCGAGGTGACAGCTGCTCAAAACGCCACATCCTTCTTTCGGTGCACTGTATGTGAGCTCACAGAGGAAGAGAGGAGCTCGCAAATAACAGATCACAGAGCTCAAAATCAAAGACCGCAGACAGCAAATCGTGATCACGGAAATAATTCTCCTCATGACGCACATGCATCTGGGCTGCTATTGAATGTTAAACGCAATGAAGCCTGTGAGTATCAAAAGCGAAGAAATATTTGTGTTCCAAAAAAAAAAAAAAGAGATAGAATCTGACATCTTTACATATTTATTTGAATATTTATATCAATCCTTTGGAAAAAACTGAAATACAAGTTTTAAGAAGACATATTATATAAGTTGGATCCACTGTTTAAAATAAAAGAGGTTTAAGCCATTATAGTTTTTCTTTCTCTTAATAAACCTTTACATTTTGATCAATATATTTTCTTCCATTCAGGTGTGTTATTTAATCTTCCAAATCACACACCATGCAAAAAGAACTGGGAGTGTAGTCAGATCATGCACGGGCAGCTTACATAGACTGGGGGCTGTGTGATGGCACTAGGCCGTAGCAATCGAAGGGTTAACTGTCTGGCACACGCTGTCAGAAAGGTATGCACGCATGAGGAACAGAGGGCGGGAGGGGGAAAAAAGGATGGGGCAGATGTATAAATATGTCTGAGGTGTGAGAGATTTTCAAGGCGGAAGAGAGACAGCCAGAGGGAGACAGAGAGTACGCCCCTGCAAGAGGCGGGCGGGCAGGCGGGTGGGTGGGGAGAGTTGGGGGGGGGGGAGGAGGAGGGAGGGAGAAGCGGAGCATTCACAATTTTCATTCAAACTGACAGACTGTGTCCTGGTTCGCACCCCCGCCTCTCCCTCCCTCCCTGCCTCCAGCACACACGCGCACACAGCGCCAGACTCTCTGCAGTCAAGTTTGCAGCGGCAGGAAGCGGTCGCCGGGAGGGGAGACTTTGGAGCCCAGAGAGCCGCGCAGAGAGAGAAACCGGGAGGAACCGGGAGAAGGGGAGAGAGAACGAGAGAGAGAAACGAGAGGGGGAGAGGTGGAGTTCGGGGGAGAGGATGGAGAGAGACGGCAGAGCTAGAAGGGCAGGAAGAGAGAGGGGATGCGGAGAGAGAGAGGGGGGAGAGGATATATTAAGATCGAGGAATGCAGGGCGAGAGAGGCAGAGAACAAGATGTATGGAAGGAGCCGAGGCGGAGGGGGAGCACACCTAAGGGTCGTTCTGGGACAACAGAGGGTAAGTACATTCATAATGACAGAAATTCATGATTATTCAGGGCCATGTCTGGCCCTGCGTTATACTTATCAAACAAATATATTGACAGACATGTGTGAACTTAAAGTGTGCTTTAATACTTTCCCCGGATTTGACATTGGAATGAGTTTCCATGCTTAGGCAAAGAGCTTTACTGTGTGATGCATTTATAAAATGACCAAGAATCAATCCTAAAACAATGTCAAAGTGTTCACTGAATCTATTTCGTACTGAATATTTAGCTGAGATTCTGCATTCTGTATTTTGTGCACTTGTCTTGTACAAAATAATATCTGTAATATGTTTAGTCATAACATAAATATGTGTGTGTGTGTACAGTTATTTTAAGCCTGGTCTGCATTTGGTGTCTGTTTCAGTCGGAGGTATATTTGGTGTACATTTTCTGAATAGTATTTTTTTGTTCAGTCACAAAGTATGAGACAGGCGAAGTATGCACATGAGTGACTGTGTATGTTTTTCGTTGTTGTAACCACACATATGATACTATTTATGCATGTGCCTGAAAAACTGTTTCCATTTGTGTGTCTTAGTGCATGGGTCTATTTCCATGTGTGTATGTCTGTGAGCCTGTATGTGTGTGTGTGTGTGTGTGTGTGTGTGTGTCAGTCCCTATGGATCTGAACAGCAATTGGATTTAAGTATTGATCAAGTCTGGAGCAGGTAGACACAGACCTGGTCCCCCAGACAAGGGGGAAGGGGGATCAGCATTCACAATAGCACTGACATCCACGTCAATAGCCCTGACTCCGACACTCACACTCACGTTCACTTTAACAGCCAAGCGCTCCGATGCCAAAACACTGAAGCAGACCGGCTAGCGCGTGCTGAAGCACATTGGCACATATTGTGAACAGCAGGGCAATACAGTGGGTGCACCTCCATTGATCTCCTTCGGCACAGGCACACGAGTTCAGTGGGTTCAACTCATGTCTGTAGGCATGTGTAATCTCCAGTCAGGTCTCTCAGTCTGGTTTCACTTCTGCTAATGTGTACATCACCACTGAAATGACAACAGGAACTGAGTTTGATTGTGCTAATTTATGTTAATTAAACTGCATATGATTATATTTGCAATAAGCACATTATATACCGTGTATATTTTTACTGCTGAGAGAGATTGTGTTTATTTGTTTGTGTTTGTGTTATACCCATTTGAGACCTGTATGGTCTTCTGACATTTGATTCAGGCCAAAAAAACATTTCAGTCCTGTCTGATTTTCAGTCTCTCGCCACCCTAGTTAAAATTAATGGGAATGGATGAAAATCCCTGGCCTAGCTAGGCCAATGTGCATTTCAGTGATGTGAAATGATTTTGTTTATGTGTTTTTTTTTTTTTTTTTTTTTTTTACCAGGGGATCTTTGCGTGCTTGTTTGCACTTGACAGCACAGGTCAGCGGGACAACACATGCGTTTAAGTGGGATTGCCTCTGCACTGTGCTGCCAGCATGCTTTGGGATTGTGGAGTGGGAGCGGGTTGGCTGCTGGCGTGGTGTGGGACCGGCGTGTTCAGGCCTGTTGAGGTAAGACTGCTGGTACAGGGGATCAGAAACTCAGCCCCTTCACGGAGGACCCACAGACGGGTCACGCAACCAGACGGCCACTCTTTCATAGGAAATGAGGCCTTTGACCTTTGCCTTTCAGTCTGTCTGGAAATGCAGAGCCTGGAATCGATCAACGCCCCCCGACACCAACCCCACCTCCCCCTCCCCCTCCCAGACACGCACCCACTCCCTCCACCTCTGTCTTTCCTTCCCTCCCCCCAAGCCTGCGCCTCCCCCCCCCCCAAAGTCAAATAATAGACCCCACAGCTGTTAGACTAGAACTAATGTAGCACCCATAGGCCTGCCCGCTCTCATTGTGTTGTAACACTATCTCACTTCTGTTTATTTACTGTACAATTAGTGCTGTGATTTTTAGTGGCAAACAGACATGTCTTTAGAAAAAAGACATGTCTGTTCAATTGTGTGTGTGTGTGGGTGTGAGTGGGTAGGTGGATTGGTTTGGGTGAGGGGTTAAGACTAGAAAATTGGCATCTGGGTTAATGTCAAGAGGAATTTTGTGGGGTGAATAATGATACCGGTTATTGTGATTAATGTTGCATGCATTTTAAGTTGTGATAGAAAGAGCCATCTGTTGATTGCTTAATGATGATAATAACAGTAATCACAATACTATTACTACCATACAGTTTTTTTTCTTTTGTGCTGGAAG